GATCGATCGTTCATGCGTGGACAATGATAGACATTCCAACCTAACGGATAAACACTTATCCGGATACCTTTCTTTACCCAATCACAGGCGCTGATTCGTGCCAGTGGAATGACTGGTGTGCTTTTGCCATTGTCAGGAAGGAATGAAACCAAGGAATATAACTCGAACTTCATCATCGAATCGAGTAAAGCTAAAACAACCCACGAGTGGAACTCTGGGGGCTAGCCTCGATGACGCAGGGAGGCGGCGTGCTTGTGGGAGATCGATTGCGGAAGGGTCCTTTGGTCCCCTCAGATGCCCCGCCCGAACGCTTTGTCAAGTACTAGTACTGTGTAACCCATGGTTTTGGTCAAAATGGTCCAGACTGAAAAAAACGTTTTTTAGAAAACTTTATCGAGAACACCTTTCAAATACATTTCGCGTTTTTACAATTGAATTGGTGAAATTTTCTACCAATGTTGAACAAATCGTGAAAATTGCCCGATATGCGCCAAATTTGTGTCATTTCAGGTCATGCAGGTACACCATGTTTGCGCAGCGAATCCAATTCTTGTTGTTATCGCTTTCGTCTATTTGGCGGCATCATGACTTACCATTGCTTCGGAGTATGATCGTGGGGTGTCATCGACGTTGAGGCACACATCGACCAGCAATTCCAAGGCCCGTGGGCATACTTGCCCTCCATGAGTGTCGAAAGGTGAGCGCTATGCACGCAAGTCAGCCCGTCGTCGAACACCGTGGGCACATCATGCATCCCATCGCCTGCGACAGCGTATGCATGCGTTCGGTAGCTGACCGCAGAGGAGCCCCGTTTGCATGCCAGTGTTTGCGCTTGGCATAGATTCAAAGCACAGCATGGCCACATCTTTCGTCACCCCGCTGCAGGAAGCCAAGCGAGTTGTACAAGATGGAAATGAGCGACTAAACACGATGGATTGATATGCTGCACAGGGTGCGACCTTACGCCTTGGGGACTTTATCTTTGGGAAATGCGGAGAGGTCTTTGTAGTCCCACGGCACGCGCTTGGGGGGAAATTTCCCCTGTCGCAACTCGTCGAACGTATCTTGGATCTGGCGCCGCGTGTTCATCACGATCGGGCCGTGCCACGCGAGAGGTTCGTTGAGCTTTTTGCCTGTGAAGAGCATGGCGGCCACTTTGGTCGACCCTGCAGACAACTCAAAGCCGCGCGTATTGTCCGACGTAGCGTCGAAGAGCGCGATCTGGTTTGGCCCTGTGGCCTTGTTTCCCACGCGACCACTGCCTTCGTACACGTACAGCATGCACGTATCAAAGCCGCTCGGGATAGAGTACGACTGCTTGCTTCCAGGTTCCAGTTCGAAATCGACCATTTGAACCGGCTGCACGGCCTTGAACGCGCCGGTTCGGCCATCGAGAAATGGGCCTGCCAGGAGTCGTGCTTGGACACCATCGGCCAGTTCGACCGTGGGAATCGACGATGTCGGCTCGGTCCCATAGGCCGGGTCGTCCATCTTCTTCGCCGCAGGCACATTCAGCCAGATTTGAAATCCCTTTTCCACTTCTCCCACAGGCGTTGCTCCACCCTCAGCATGCTCGATGCCGCTTCCACAGCTGATCCATTGCATCCCTGGAGTCGAGAACGTTTCGCGATTTCCCATGGAATCGCCGTGGCGACCAACGCCTGTCTTGATGTACGTGAGAATGTCCATGCCTCGATGGGGGTGCCACCCAATGGGAAAGTCATCCTTGTCGGACGAGATCCCTTCCGATTCGAACGCAAAGTTGTCACACATGAGGAACGGATCACTTTCGTCGGACGGAATCCCGGCGGGAAACGCTTGGTGTACTGTGCGCTCGTCGCCAAAAGGGTGGACTTTGCCGGCATTGGCAATGCGAATCAGAGGCATCGGGGCGTGTGTTGTCATGGCGGATAGGAATCGAAGTGGACCTGGGCACGCCAGAGCCATTGAGGAAGTGTTACGTGCGATGGAAGCGGGGTAAGCAGGAAGTGAGTTCTTTGTCGATGGTCGAAACTTCGGAAGAAGCAACTTCCTTCAGATTTGGAATATATTCACGAAACGGCTGCAAATTTCACCAATTTCACCTTGTGAACGAATACAATATGAAAAAACTTTGCTGAATTTGGTTTTTTTCCAAGTATTTTGAATAAATTTCAGCTTTTTCGACAATGGATAACTTGACCGATCTCATTAGAGAGTACGTTATGTGATGCGTGTAACCGCCTCGTAAGAGATACGATTGTCCACAGTGCCATGGACGACGCCGACAATGCCGACGAAGCCGTCCTCACGACCACAAAAAGACCAGCAGTTCCGAGGCCTATTCCACAAGGGTATGATCAAGATGGGAACCGGGTCATCCCACCGCAATTGCAGGCAGAGTTCACAACGAATGAAGGCGACGAGGTGGACACAACAACCTTTACATTCACATCTACACTTACCAAATGCAGCTTATCGCGCTGTTTGAGAGCGCGGACGAAGACAAAAGCGGATCGGTCGACGAGCAAGAGTTTCGCAAGTTGCTCGTGAGAATGGATATTTGCATATCCGACGAAGAAGTCGACAAACTCGTCGTCGAAGTCGACACCAACAACAACGGGCTCATTGAATGGGACGAGTTTGTGATGGTACAATTGATTTTCTTCACGATGGTAGCGCCACCTCCACTTTGTGTTGGCTAGATGGTCTCCAAGGCCAAGCGCGGCGACGTCCGGTTCAATAAACTGCATGCCATGACGGAATCACTGAATACGACGCCCGTGGCAATGCTCGAGTCCGAAGCCGGTCGGTCGCTCTCTTCCACACTCTCCAACAACGATTCACTTGGTTGTAGGCAAGTTCGGGCTTGATGTGGTGTTCCGCCTATTGGAAGAACGCAAAGCGACTAGCTATAACCCCAAGACGTACGTGGTCGAGGTGACGATCACGACGACAAGCCCTGCCGACGGCTCGACGGAGAGGCAGTCCTACCAAGCCATTGGATTCTCATCCCGGGAAGCGAAATTCAAAGCGGCGGAGCTTGCACTCGTCAAAATGCGCAAGATGAAGCCCGGCTTCGAGTTTCCCGCCGGAGTGGTTCCACCCACATGGGACGATTGGGCGTTTAATAACTTGAACAAAGGAGTTGCGTCGCTGAAGGTTCGTGCAAAATCTTTCCATGGCTGTTGCAATGCATGACTGTGGTTGGCGAAGGTCCTGAAAACGCTGGTCGAGAAAGGCTTCACGCCGGCCGACAACCTCGTGTTCATGAAGCGGTTTTCTCTCCACGTGTCGTATTTGCACGTAAAACACCAGAACCTCGACACGGCGCTCGTCTTTCCAAACTCCACGTCGCTCACGACGCCGTGGTGCCGATGGGTCGACGAGCAAGTAGCTAGGGGCATGGATGGTGCCCTCGTCCTGCAACAGCTGTGCCACGGCGGCTACGACTCGACCAAGGACCCGCACTTCGTACAGCAGCTCTTGCAAGGCAAGAAAAACGGGGCTGTCCCGCCAGTGTACGACTTTTGGCAATGTGTGCAGACGGGCAACTTGCACGAAACTAAGCTCTTTGTGTGCGCCGGCCAAAATGTGAACGAGGCCAAGCTCGACCGGCATGCCAAGACTTTGTACACGCCGCTGCAGCTGGCCGCCAAACTCGGGTACTTGAACATGGTCGAGTACTTTTTGCAGCACGTACGACATACGGCCGATTCCGAATGATTCGGCACCGATGCACCCATCCCTTCTTAACGACTCTGTAGGGAGCAGAGGTAGCCGCCAAAAACAGCTTTCGACGAACGGCGCTCATGTTTGCAGCGCGCCATGGTCACCCCGCGGTGCGTACCTTCGACGCTAAGCGAGCCGTCCTCCGTGGCGTTGCAAGTGCTGATAGTGTTGGTTGGCCTGTTGCAGGTCATCAAGCTGCTGCTGCGCCACGGCGCATCCATCTTGGATCGAGATAATCTGGAAAACACCCCGTTGCACATGGCGGCCATGGCAGGCTGTACGCGGGTCAGTCATGCATTCCAAACGCACACTGGTGCAGAACGAAGTGCCTAAGCTGTCACCGGGTAGTCGTGCTTGGAGCTCCTCACATTTGATGAGGAATACGTACGGTCGTGCATCATCAACACCAACAAGAGCCTCAACTTTCTCGACGAAACGAGAAGTTTCCGAGGCATTGTCCGGGCGCTATTTGCCGACATGATGCAGGCCAAACTTGCGCGGAACGCACGGCCGACATTTGCCCTCGCGTGGTTGCATGAAGCCGTCGACTTGGCCTACGCTGTAAGGAGTCTCCCCCAGCCATCCATTCTGACAACTCATCTACCCCACGTTTTGTACGGCTAGAAAATCATTGCCCCCAACCACGAGGCCGCCGGCCAAGTCCAACGCCCATCGGGGCACGTCATCACTCGCATCATACATCGACTCCAGTACCTACAACACGACATCCCTGACACGGGCGATGAAGTCGAAGTGCTTCAGATGGAAAAAGATAGCCAGCTCTGCATCCTGAACGCAGACCATTTGCAGGCAAGGCATTCGATCCATTAGCGTGGCCGTCATGGTGTGTAGGTGTATGTCGAGCACTGCTTTCTTGAAGCGTACAAGAATGCCCCGAATCGACAAGGCCGGACGCCCCTCCACTTGGCTTGCGACGAGAATCTCGTGTGCACGCATGAGGTATCAAACGCTCGCACGCATTCCGTGCCGCGTTGACTTGACCGACGTGCTCCGTTGACAGGGAGCTCTTCGTGTCCTGCTCGATTCGTTTGGCTGTGATCCACATATCAAGGATCATATGGGTCGAACGCCGCTCGATTTGCTTTTACAGCGAAAGCACCGCCCCGGGAGCCCCAAGGAGAACCGCGAGCTTGAAGTGACGCTACAGAGAGCTCGCCATCGCCGCCGGATGAACCATGCAGCCCGACGGCAACTGGAACAGGATGCCGTGAAACGCGGAGCATTCGAAGAGAATTTGCTGCAGCAACTGCCCCGACAACCCGTACGTTGCTGTTGGCGCCTTGACTTCAGTCGTTGGTCGTTGTCCGACATAGGAAACGAACGACATCGACTTGAAGCATGCCATGGAGACAGCGACAGTCGTGGCAACGATCGCTGGCTGGCGGGTACATTCGCTCCAATGTGATTCCGCGACCACAGGGCTGTGCTGACAACCCAACGACCAGGAATACAAAGATGCACAGAGCCTCAACCACTTTTACGAGAACGTCAACACGGGCCAGCTGCAGCTGCGTATCCCAGACGACGTCCGCGCCGCGTTAGCCGTGCGGATGCAGTGGTTTTTCCGAAAGCAGTCGGCGCGGCTGTTGGAGAAGCGAGGTACAACTCGATAGCGATCACACGAAGGCGTCCAATAAATCGGCGATAGGGAGCTGGACCATGCACAAGCACGCCGAGAAGCAGCGTGTGTTCTTTTACAACACGGAAACGGGGCAATACCAATGGACAAAACCGACCGTCGTCGACGGATGGGCCAACATTCCACCCAACATCAAGCGCACGCTCGACGCGGTGGCGACGCCCGACTCGGACGACGAAGACAGCGACGATAGCGAGCAAGGCGAGCATCGCGAAGGCATCGACCAAGTGTCACAGAAGCTGCTCCGGGTGTTTGGTCCCGTAAGAGGACGTCGTGGTGTGCATGCCATACTCCATGTCGCTGCGTAGTGGGAAGAGCACCAAGACGCTGTCACGGGTGGCCGTGTGTACTACAACACAGACACGCGCCAGCTCACTCGGGACAAGCCCGACGCCGTCCTCAACGACGAGCTCAAGCGGCAAGCGTATGCGCTCCTCACCAAGACCGCCGAGTTCAAAGATCGCGTGCGTTTGCTAGATGTGCTCGTGGCATGCATGTGAAGAACGAGTGGTAGATTGGCATGTGGGACAAGTATTTCGACGTGCGCACGGAGCACTACTTTGTGTACAATCGCGCGACGGGGGAAGGGCGCCATGAGACAGAGTACGTCGAGGGCGACCTCCGGCAGGTACGCTGCGACGTCGACGTGTTTTGAGCTGTCGGGGCGAGGCTAAAAGCGTGCACGCGGTTCAGGAAGCGATCAAAGCGTCGGCGCAGGACGCAACGGTGCAGTTGGTGCGTCGGCTCACGGACGAAGAGTTGTCGAAACAACGAGACAATGAGCACTGGATGAACATCTTGCAGCGCGCTCGCCGCCGGGATACACTGACGACTCTTGTAAAGAAGGAGGTCGTGGACGATGCCACCCGCCGACTGAACCAACTCAACGACGCCATCCTGCGCAAGTTCGTTGACGGACGAAACCACACGATGCTGACGCTCACGGCGGCGAGTAGGATTCACGCTGATTTTGCCACGGCAACGATGGGGTACCGCGATGCCCGCGTTGCGACGGAGCAGCGAGCGTTGATGAAGGCGCGGGCCCTGGGGCTCTTTGTATCGGAGAAAATCGTGATGGCGCCGTCGCGTGCGTCCACAGAGGCCATGGAATTCACCGAGTGGCTTCAACGGGAAGAAGCGGAAAGCCACGCCGTCGAAGACACGGATGCGAATCCAAGCGAGAGCGCCCGCCGTCGTATCGTTCGCCTTGTCGAAGATGCTGCGTGGAGGATGGACAGTCACTACGCATTGTGTTTCTGGGGCTGTCGGCTCTGGAGTCTCGTGGGAATGCAAAAGGCCGACCACGAACACGACGAATGCAAACGACGGTGCGCGCGATGCTCAGCCGTCCGTTCTCTCATCGACTGGTAGCGTCATGGTGTGTCGGTTGGGCTGTCCTGTCATGCACGAAGCATTTCAATGGCAGCAGTGCCATGGCCGCGACCAAAGTGAGTTGGAGTGGCATGAAGTGTACGAGTGCAGCTCGAGGCTGATCAAGTGCCCGCGGGACTGCGGCGTGTGGGTGTCGAACGATGCGCTCCAACACCACACCGATTTCACATGCGTCAAGCGACCCGTGCCCGACTTGGCATGCCGCGTCGGGTGCGGCAAGGTTCGCAACCGTTTGAGGATGCCGTGGCTATCGTCATAACCCTGTGCAGGTTTTTGCAGGCGCAAACAATCGCATTCTCGAGCTCGAACAAGAGCGAAAGTGGCACGAGATGGAGGCATGCCCGAATCGAATTGTCTCGTGTGCATGGCCAGGGTGCGACGTCCACATGATGGCCAAGGATCGTAAACTGCACCGTGCCGCCCATCTCTGCGGTACGCGTCAGTGTGCGACGTTTGTTGGGATTCACGTCCCGCCAGCGTCGGGCATCACAACGTTCAAAACGAGTGGGTCGTTCGAGTTTGTCGTGCCCAAAGATTGCAAACACATCAAGATTCAAGCGTGGGGGGGTGGAGGCGGCAGCGGAGTCTTGCATGGTTACAAGTTTGGCCATGGCGGCGGCGGCGCCTTCGTCGAAGCCATATCCCCCGTGCATCCTGGCGAGGTTGGAGCACCAGGTTGAGGGTATCTCGTGACCAACCCATCATCTAGACGCTGCTAATTGTCGTGGGGGAAGGCGGGCGCGGCGGCGTGTTTGGTCACATCCACCCCAGTCACACGCCCGACGGGCTCCCCCTCGTGTCCCAGGTATAGCGGTGGACCCCTTGCCCCCCCCCTTCTTCATGTTGTTCCAAATGTCTGAAAGTTGATGCTTTGATTCGTCGTAGGTTGGGCAAGCTGTTGGTGGTCTTCCCGGAGGGGGGTCGGGTCACAGCAGCAACAATGGATGGGCATGTGGAGGCGGCGGGGGCTACACGAGCATTTGTCGAAAGGGTCCGTTTGGAATCATCACGCTTGTGTTGGTCGGTGGAGGTGGGGGCGGCGGCTGCCGCGACGGCCTTGGCGCTGGCGACGACAAGCCTCTTGACCCTGCAGTCAAAGTCGACATGCGCAATGGAGGCATGGGAAGCCCACTTCAAGGCGGGGCTCCAGGTGCAGTCGTGTGTGGAATTTTTGTCCTGACGAAGGCTGCCCAGGTCAAGTGAGCACCCCAACCCCGGCGTTTGGCGCGACAGGCGGTCAACAATACCAAGGTGGCAGTGGCGCTGAATTCGGAGGGGGTGGTGGCGGTGGCTATTTTGGAGGCGGCGGGGGCGGGTACTCCCCAGGTATTGTCGGGGGCGGTGGGGGCGGTTCAAGCTTTGTCGACCGCACATTGTTGGAGAATGCCGTGATGGAGAAAGCCAGCAAGCGTGTGCCGGGGGGGCTGGATCGTCATCCCCCGGCTGCAACCAACGACGAAGGCGGGGGCGTTTGTGGGGAAGGTGGCTTCGGTTCGATCCGAGGCATTTGTCCAGGCAACGACGGGTGCGTGCGTGTGGCGCTCCCCGGTTTTTACAGCAACATGGACTTTGACTCGGCCGAGGATGCGGTGCGCAGTGCAGGAGAACGTCAAGTCGGAAATGAAACACACTTAAATTAAGACCTGCCATTCTTCTTGGGGTCCGGCCGCGACGGCGGGCCGTCCGCTTTCCACCACGGCCGTGTGTGGCCCCATTCGCGGTTTCGCGCCGACGCCCTCATGCTCGCATGGAGGCGCGTGCGTGTTTGAAGCGTCAGGTGGTCGCATGTGGGCTTGGCCATAAACTTGCTGCCAAGCGAATGCGGCATCTCGAAGCCACAGCTCTCAAGGAACAAAGTGAGCTTTGCAACCCGTTCGACGAGGGCCGGGTCCATCGCAAGGGCCTCGGGCTGTATGGCAAACTCGAGGCGGGCACGCAGCTCCTTCACAACCTTCTTTTCAAACTTGTGTCGGGCAATGTCTTGAACGATGAGCGAGCCCACGCGACTGTCCTGGAGAGCCTGGCACGCGTCCATGGCGAGGCAAAACACTTGGCCGTTTGGTTCGATGAAGCGCTGGCGCATTTTCTCAAAGATCTTGAGGACGTGGACGTAGGCGCCGCCGTCCATGCACAAAAACATGCCGAGGCCGTATTGCTGGACGTCAAAGGGCTGCGTGCTTTCCATGAGCATGTCGAGAATGCCATCGTACTGTTTGGTGTTGCCCATCATGGTAATGATAGAGTCGACGACGCCGGTCGATTTGTTCAGGAATGATCGCTTCGAGTTGAATGCTTCGAGGAGCTTCGACCCCGCCTCGAACTCACAACCGAGGCTCAAGCTGTCCAGCAGCTGCTCAAACACCGTCGGGTGAATTTGGTAGTCGTTCTGGAGCATGTACATCACAACGTCGGCGGCCAGGGTAGTTGCTCCGCGCGACATGAGCCACTTGAGGCCGTTCGTCTGCATCGACGGTGACAACTGACATACACGGCGTTCGAGGTAGTTGCCTACAACCAAAATGAGCCCATGGTCGAGCGACAGACGCCATGGACCAGACACTCTTGTTACCTTGGCTCTTCATCAAGGTTGCAACAGGGACCACCTTGTTCAGGGAAAAGTACGACTGCAAAATATTGTCCGGCGAGCAGCTAAACTGCGTCATGGTGCGCTCGATCGCGGGCGTGTCGTGGGTCAGCAAGTACGTGCTCAAGATCGACATCACGACACTTTCGTGGACGTCGCTGCCGGCGGCGAGGAGCGTCGACGCGATCTGTTGGACCTTGTCTTGCCGATGCGCACGCGAGTACGCACGAATGGCGGCATTGACCGCATACGAGTTGGGTGCAAGTTGAAACGTATCCATGAGTTCATACACCGTCAACACCATCGTGTCGTTGCGCTTCGTTGCATACATCGAGATGAGGCTGCTCAGGGTGCTGCTCATTTCGTCGGGATTCATGTGCGTTGTGCTCATGTAGTCCTCAAACGAAGCCAGGAGCCGACGCACTTGGTCTTCTCGGCCCAGCTGGGCGTACGCGCGGAGGGCGCCGAGGTAGGCAAACCCATTTGGCGTAAAGCTGTACATTTCCATCGTTTCAAACAACGTCACGACCATGCCAACGTCGTTGTGCTGCGAGAATGCCGACAAAATCACAGACACCACATCCGACACGTCCGACGTGTCGACGATATCCTGGTGGTACTTGTGGAGCATCTCCACCATCTCGGACGCCGCGACCGTCGCTGCTTTGCCAAAGCCCGACGCCAAGCTCGACAACACGATGCACTTGTACGCGTCGATTGGAAACGGGCCTTGGGTCTTGGCCCGAAGGGCATACCAGAGCCGCGCCTGCAACACACCGTTAACGTCGTGGATGGAGCCCGACGGCTCTGTCGCGACGTACCACCAATGCGTGGCGCTCGGCGCGGTACAACACCTTCATGGCGTTGCACACTGCAAACACGTGCTCGTCGTTGATGTTGGTGAACGAGACAGTTTCCATGGCCAAACTGTACGCAATCTTCCACTCGGGGCTTTCGTGCGAGTTGTCTGCCAGCTTTTGGAGCACCTGCGGCTTGCCGCGGATATGGGGCTGGATGTCCCAGGCGAGGGCCGAATTGATCGTTTTGCGGGCAAGTGGCCAGTGGTTCGCTTCAAGCAGCTTGGAAAGGAAATCGCCGACAACGCCTTGAGGGCGCTACAAGATGCAATTCATGCTGACCATTCGTTTTCGACAGGGAGGCCTACGTTGAACGCCGTCGGGTTCATGATCCCGAGCAGCTCTTCCATGTAGTCCCAGTGCTCATATTTGACAAACGCATCGGATGCGGCGCGAATCGATGCGTCGTTGGGCGGGGTTCCGGCGTGGATCATGCGTTGGAGAAAGTCGCGAATGTGTTCGGAATAATCCACCGCAGCTTTGGCAAACCCCGAGATAATGCCAGAGTACATGAGCGCATTGCTGTCGTCGGGGAGGTTCTCCCGCGTGTGTTCCAGCAGACGCTCGAGGGAATCGATCGCCCCAATGCTGGCAAATGCCCCCGCCGCACTCGCAAACGCAGGTGCGTGCAAGTCGGGCACGTGCCGAACCATCATGTCCCAGTAGTGCATGATCGCGAGGCGGGTCGTGCTCACATCCATGTCTACACATGCATTTGAGACGAATTCGCTCGATCCAGAGCACACGAGCCTGCTGGAGACCGCGCCAACGCATTGAACACGGCAATGTACGTTGTCGCGTCCACGGGTGGCCCAAATGTGTGGACAAACTCTTTCATGAGGTCAAGCGCGCCGTTCGTGTCTCCCTTGCGCCCCATGCCGCGAATCGCAAAACTGTACGCCACGTTTGGCAGCTTCTCGTGGCGTGTCCGCATTTGGGCAAACACGTCCAGCAAGATGTCCATTTCGCCAGTCACGACGCAGTCATGCATGATGCCTACAGACAACGACAATAGTGCCATGGTCATGCGGTCGATCATGCAATGATGTGGAGGGGGGACTACCCATGTAGGTCGAAATCGTGGCTGGCCGCTCATGATCGCGGATGCGACCCCACATCTCATGCGCGGCAGGGAGGTTGTTGGTGCGAATGTATGCCAGGATCATCTTGGCCATGCAGTAGTGGCTCGCATGCACGCCCTTGGCGTCCATCGATGCAAACAGTTCCGTCGCCAGCCAAAAGCCCTTTTTGTCACACAATTTGCCGATCGTGGCGGCGTGGATGCTTTCGCCGAGGACGATGCCTCGCTGGTCGCACAGCGAAAACACATGCAGCGCCTGATTCACCGCTCCTGTATGGGAAAAAGCCTTCAGGAATCTCCATAGCATGGACAATGAACGAACCGAGTGAAATATGGGCGCGAATGAGCTGGGTGTACACGTCGACGGTGCCTTCGATGCCATTCTCCTGCATGAGGTGCAAGGCGTGCATGGACAGGTCAGATCGCTTGCATACGCCAAAACACCGAATGAGCGCCGCGTACTCGTCGGCACTCAGCGCCGTCGCACAGTTGGGTGTATCACGAAGAAGCTTGAGGATCGTCTCGGGGTGTTGAACATTTCCCAGCGTCGTGCACTCGGCAATGGCGGCGTGGAATGCCGGCAGACTCACTGGGGCGTTATCTGTCAACCGATCGATGACGATGTCAATGATTTTGCTGCTGTTGCCATGGGCCATGTGTGCCTGCACAAGCATGTCGATAGTGGCCGATGTGGCGACCACGCCGTCGTTTTTCATGGTAGCCATGAGCATTTCCATCGCTTCAAACTTGTGGTCGCGACCTAGCGCTTCAATGGCGAGCTCGTACGCTTCCGCATCCGTTTCGCCTCGCTGGTCCAACTCGGCGAGTATGGTCAACGCTGTCTTCCAGTTGCCTGTTTCAGCACACTTTTGAAGCGATGTAACAGAGGACGAGCTCAACCAGCGCGTGGCAAACGGAAAGCGTGGATGTGATGGCAATAGTACGGTCTTGACGAGGCGAGAGCTGCTGTGGCCAAGCGTCTTGTGCGCGGCGGCACCTAAGCTGGACGAGCGCCGCCACATTCTGCGACAGAACTTTGTATTCTGACAATTTGGATTTGGCCACCAATTGCCATCCGCCAATCAAAACGTCCGACACGATGCCACCAATCAAAACGGTTTCTCTCGTTGCGTTTTGTATCGACGTTTAGAACGAGTTTGAAACAAGTACCACTCAGTTGACCATGCTTTTAAAATCCATTTGAAATCCAGCGTCCAAGTCGACCCTTGTCGTCAACAACAAATTATAAAACTGTTGCGATGTGTGTGGTCGTGGCCAATGCGATTCGCCGAATGTATTATAAATATATTTTAAATCTTCACTGGATTCCAGACGGACACTTCACCCCAGCCACCACCACGACCGCCGCAGCACCATGGGCCGCCGAAAGACTTCGACCAAGAAGATTGTTACGCGAAAGAAGCAAGTTGTCGCGCGCGTGTTCAAGTGCCCATTTTGCTCGCATGACGACAGCGTCCAATGCAAGATGTAGGCTGCTTGCCACTTGAGTTCTTGAGACGAATCTGACGCTTGGTTTGTAGGGACCGCGACCGCAACGTCGGCCATTTGACGTGTCGGATCTGCAGTGAATCGTATCAAAGCAATATCAATTACCTCAGCGAACCTATCGACGTGTACACAGACTGGATTGATGAATGCGAAGCTCTCCATTCGAATCAATAAACTCTGCCCTAACTCACGGAGCTATTCTTCGCTTGCTTCGAGTCCTTCCGCACGCCCTCGCGGTATTTTTGTTCTTCTCGTCGTTGTATCCGCGCTTGTAGCATGCGGCTTCGCCTCGCCCACTCCATCTCCTTGGCCACACTCTCCTCGGATGCGTTCCCGCTTGCGGTTTGTTCGTCCAACGTTTGCTTCATCTGTTTCAGAGCACTCTTCTCCTTGCGAATACTCAGGTCTTCATCGCGCTGACGCTCTTTCTCGGCATCCCGTGCCGCTTTTTTTGCCGCCTTGGCTGCCTCGCGCTCGGTCGCAGCAGTATCTTGTCGCGCTTTCTCCAACCGATTCTTCTCTTGGGCGTACTCGAGAATCGACCGCTGCTGGAGCTCTGCCAAGTACGCTTCCTCTTGTTTCTGGCGTTGGTCGATGCCAATCTTGCGCCGCCGCTCGAGTTCGCTGGCCCTTGCCACCTCGTCCCGCTTCAACACCAACGCTTGTTCTTCATCTTCCATGTGCAGTGTCATAGCAACCCGAGTCCGTGCCGCGCTCATCAATATATCTTTGCAGATTCCTTGAAACGCCGCCATATCGATGGGACCGCTACGAACGGTCAAGTTAAAGCTGGTGGGGGCGATGGCCCAAACACGTCCAGCGAGGTTTCCAACCAACGTACGCGATGTCGACTTGAATTTGAGCCAACGCAATCTCGACGACAAATGGGTCGCGGACGTCGGCGCACATCTACTTTCAAAGTGCTTCGACGTGAGGCGATCGAAGCACCACTCCAAAACAACGTGACCCACCTGTCGAATGGATGCAGGCACGTCACACCACACTTCTCGCAACACGTTTTCGAAGCGCGCTCGCGCCGCCTACGACTTCGGTGAAAACACTCGATTCAATTCCTTCCAACGGGCTACGGTGGGGGATTGCGTGCTCTGCAGCGCCTCCATCCTTGTCGTATCGACAAAGTTGTACTTGGCATACAATGGCTTGAGCATGTTCGTCAAGGCCGTGCCTTCTCTGATGTACGTGTGGACGTCGGGAGGTACCGATTTGAGAACCAAGTCGGCCCAGAACGTCGTTGCCGCCATGGGACAGAACTGCTTCCACCAGTCTGGCCATCGATTGAGCCGCTTCGCGTCATGCATGATACGAACGTTGTCGGTGTGGATCACGTCTCCATTCACCAGAGCGCTGTGCGTCACTGTTTGATCGGGCAACGTGTCCTCCAAGAGCGCAATCTCGACCAAAACATAGTTTGGTGTCGGCGGGGCAAAGCGATGGGCGAACGAAATCCGCTTCTCCATGATCGTGCCAGAGTCTTCGTAGCGAAAGGGATGCACGGGCGCCCCGATGGGCCCTTTGTGTCGTCATGTGAGCTTCTGTTGCATCGGACGACGTGCAGAATTGTGGTTTGCACACACCTGTGCTAAAGTTGTGAAATCCAAAGGATGACGTGGCATCCTGAATGAACGTGTCAAGGCCCAAGCGGAGGTTTCCACTCACAACGACCACGTCGCGGCCGTCGATCTTCTCCTTCCATCGAAAGAGGAGTGAAATGAGCTGATGCAACTGACCCGGGCATGCAATCCAATGTGCCGCCAAGTGCGTCGTGTTGTACAGGCCATCGTGAATGCCGCCACCGTCTCCTCCGCTGAACGACGCGCGGAACGATGAGGGGGTGCCAGATAGAACGAGGGGAAACTCCATCAAGAGCACCAAAACACGCACGCTCTTCTTTCGGCACAAGCGCTAGGCGAACGGACACTCGCTCTCACGACGATGCTTTTTTCACGAAAGTCGAGACATACCTCGAAGGCTAGCCACTGATCTTCGCTAATCAAGGGCCGCTCCTACCACGAACAAGCCACGCGTCATTCAAGACTGAACCGCAAAACCACTGTGCGTGGTCCTGTTCTGCAAGTGGCATGCCTTTGGGGGCTCGGTCAATCGCTTGTTGCATGTGACGATATCGCCGTCTTCTGTCGCGCGCATGTCGAAAATAAACATGGCCACGAGCCCCATCCGAACGGCATAGTATTCGCCGTTGAGAGTCCGAGCTGCATCAAGTTCCTTCGATGCGGGTTGTGGTTCGTTGGACGGTGTGTCTCTGTCGGCATCTACTTGGAAGGTGTGAAGGCATTGGGTCCGATTTCAACATGCACACCCCCTTTGTTCACGTCGTCATTGTCCATTGCGTTTTCGTCGGCCCCATAATCGTGTCGCCACCCCAGTGCGCCATAGTACATCCTGGCAACGTCCTTGGCACACGCCACAATGAGCTGCATGTGCGCTACGTCGTTTTCGGACCGTCCTTCCTTGACCAGGGATGCCTTGGTGCGCCCAAAGAAACTCGCAACGTCAGAGGCGGTCAACACCATGAGCTGACTCGTTTGGCTCAGCACCGATCGGACAAATGGAATATTCCACACAGCGCGATATTCTTGCTGGAATCGTGTGCGAATGCGCTGTTTCCAGACTGCCGCGTCGCCAGCTACGAACCAACACGGTGACGGGCTAATAAAGGTATTGCTCACTACGGAACGCACGTTTTTGCTGCGCTTGCAACCAGCGAAGACAGTCGTTTGCAGCCGACTGCATTGGAGCTTGTCCACCAACGTGGGCGACGACATCGATGCCATGCCATGGCACTTGCATCCTGCGAACAAGCGACGTGTGAAGAACACTGGCCGTGTGAAACTCGCGACTGTACCGATGGTGCAGGACTTCCCACAAGTTGGGAGTCGTCGTCACTCGGTCCTGGGGAAAGTTTGTGCTGACAGCGACAATGTTGACAGTGTTCATCTGGGCGTGGGGTGTATGGAACACTCCATTGCGATTGTTTCGATTGGCGAGGCCCTGGCGCATGCACGTGGAAGTCTCGGTCGTTTGAGAAACAAACTACCTCAAACGAGTAAGCATATCTTGTCGCGGGGCGAAGATTCGTGCATCGAAACGTTGTTGGGGTGTTGGGCTGCACAACTTGCACGAATCGCACTCTACGTCGCGTAACGAATTGGATCGAAAGAGATTGCGTGGCGTACGTTGTGTTGGCGAGGACGTCCACCACCGCACACGTGATGGCGGCAGGTGCATTCACTTCCAGGACAATGCAAACCTCAACGACTGCTTCAAATGTCGCATCGTTGTCCGGCTCGACAACGCGCATGCGACCGAGGATCGGCCCCAACTAAGTCACGTCCCTGTCAGCAACATTTCGCAGCAGGCATGTCGTTGTTTGACATACAATGGCATAGCATGGCTTGGTGAAGGGAAGCCAGTAACCCACGTGGTACCACTGGACAACGTTCAAGTCGGATGTAATGTGGAGGTGTCCGTAGCCTTTGGTTCCGCCAAGCGGCTCCACGGCTTGGTTGTCGTTGCTCGGGGCAGGCACATCGTCGTGGCCTATACTCGAGGTCATCCGCGACGGCTGATGCGATGCGATGGGGCGAACCTGTGTGTTTCTCCCTGGCGAAAGTAAATCGCTTGGAAAAGTGACCGCCTTCGATCGGATAACTTGGCGGGTCCAGGCGACGAGTGGACGTGATCGATCCCACGGGCAAAAGGCGAAGCGTTGCATGGCTCCGATGGTCCGTGACAACGTACGGGTCGGTCGTCGTGGAGCTGTGCATGAGAATGATCACATCTCGATCGTCCAGACGCTGGTTCTTCCAGTCAAACACTTTTTCCAGCAACCGTGTGACCCCGATGAGAAACATGGATGCCATGGACGTCTCAAGGAGGTCGTAGCACACGACAACACACAGCAACTTGCCTACGCACCGCAGCCCTCTCGTAAGATGTTGACAAGCCTTTGGGGATTACAGTTGCGCTTGGCAGCGACGATCGCATCGTCCAATGCCAACCAGGCGGCAGGAGGAAGCAGGTTGTTGGCCTGGGCAACTTTGGTCAAGTCGATGCCGGCTGACTTGGTCGGGTTTTGCTTGGACGTTTTGGCTGGCGGGGCGTTTTCAACATTTACGGCGGTGGGAGGGTGGGGATTCTTGTTGAGAATAACCAATGTGCACTGGCCGTATTGCACAAAACTCGCGGTGCGGGTCGCCAACGCGTCCTCCGGGGCCACGTCGATCCAGAGCTGGTTTTGGTAGTGCACCCAAACAAACTGGGCAATGTCTCGGATGAACTGGAGTACCTTGAACCATGCACTGTCACGAAATCGTGTTCCAGTATGAAGGACGCGGGTACCTCGGAGACGGCGGGAAGACAGTCGTCAAAGTTGGATTCGATCAAGGACGCTGAAAAGAACAGGTCGGCTTCGTCGACCAACATGACATTGCCGCACACACGCAATGCGTCGCTGTATGGGGGTATGTTCCATTGCACTCGATAGACTTGCTGCATCCGGTGTTGAATCTGCGTTGTTGGTGCAGCAACATGTGTACCGAGCAAGGTTGAGTACGTACCTCTGGTCGCAGCACGGCGCTCCACTGATCCTTGGGCATCTCCAGCATCCTTCGCACCAGTGCTACGAGCTGCGAACATGTTGGAAAGTGCACATGGTGTGCATGCCGTGATGGGACAATACTTCTTTGTCTGTGAACGCATGCTGCACGTGAGCTTGAGCCCCGACGTGCATCAACAGCAGCGGCCGTCGAAGCGGAAGAGCCGTCGTGGTATCGTGGATTGCCCTCCACAGGTTTTCCGGGGGGTTCAGACCATCTCCGTTGTCGGTGGCCGTCGCGGCGGCGTGCTTGGCGTGAAAAGGAGCGCTGAACAAGATGTCGCGCCACACCGACGCATCGTTGGAGGACGTGAGGTTGCGCCAGTTGGAGTCGTGCACGACAACGCAATCAAACGCAAACGGGTGGTTGGGGGGCGTTTGAATCGTCGTCACCTTTTCGTGCACTGGCCACGCAATGCCCTAGCTTGGATCAATATCCCGCAGATGCTCTCGAACCAACCTCGAACGTGATAGCGTATTGCGACGCTGGCTCGAGATCGGACACTGTAAAGACTGCAGGTAAACATGCTGGCATGTTCCGCGTCGTTGTGTGCCTAACACATTTCGACGGGGTTTCCTGACGGAAGCTGCCAGTAAACAGATTACCGCTCACGAGTGAGTACGTTTGTGCATACGCACGTGCAAGCCTCCACCGAGCTGTTGACCTCCAACAGAACGCGAACGGAAGTGGCCGTGACTTTGCCGAGGACTGGTCCCACCAGCACCTGCCGCCTACGTCGTGAACCGGTTGCATGGGATGGACGTACCTTGGCGGTGGGTTGATGCGACACTGTTTGATGCACATGGAATTGAGCGAGCTTTGGGTGGGGCACCACGGAGACGCTGACGTATTGTGTGTCTGCAGTGCTACATGCGTGCTCGATGACGAATTGGTCCAGCAGGACGCCACGTTCGGGGGGGGGAGTCGATTGGACAGGGTTTGCCACTGGCCCGACCACCACTTGGTCGAGGACCACACCGCTCGCTTGCACTCGAATCGTCGTCTTGGCGCCCAACGGCCCAGCACACAAGAGCAACGCATTGCGTGTTGGGTTCTACAGCAGCCCTCGATTCAGCATGGCAGGAAGCATCGATCGCCAGTACATGGGCTTTCCAAGCGGCGACCATGTGGAGCAATTTGCACAATTCGTCGGGGTACATAATCCAATCTCGCCACAGCAATGTCGGGCGCACGTCAGAGCGTGCGAGGTACCACACGACTGGGATGTCGCACGTGATCACGAGGCAGTGTGCTGTCTTGGACGATGGATCCAACACTTGGGCAAGAAGCGCCCACTGCTCGGAGCTCAGCAGTTGGCGGGTCTACTTGTTGGTCAGAAACCACCACGTTCATATGTGCGCTGTTCCGTACGTGTTGCAAATATGCGTTTGTCGTTGCTAGCCGATTCTCGAGCACGTCGACATGAAGAACTCCGATCGTGCCTCCATTCATGGTATGGTAGCTGAATCGCCGCAGCGCCGCGCCACTCAGCTGTGTATGTCGCTGGTACTCCCACGCGACGCGCTCGGCACACTCAACCACGCGGCGGCTCAAATGCAACGTGGTGTACTGAGTCCAATCCCACCCGGCCCCGATAAACCAGTGGCTTCCACGGCACAGGGCGGTCCTGTTTTCTCGCCAATGGTTGCGAATTGCGTGTCGAAAGCACGCCGAGATGGCGTCAACGTTGTCGGGGTCGGACTTCCACACGGCCATGGCTTCGTCGGCTGCGTCGTGGGTCGACACGTGCTGGCCAACGTACACCGTTGCATCCGAGCTCGGAAACGTCAATTCATTCGTTGTCAACTCTTGCCATGCTGACGCAGGCATCGTAAACGGAGGGGTTTGGCCATCTCGTGGAAAAAGACGATCGTGGGAGACGCATGTGAGGTGCAGCGCGGGCGCGTGAACTGGTCTTGTGTGAAATGTAGCCGTAGCGTGGGATGGCAGTCCCTTCGACGGACCACGTTAGTCCCCAAACACTGTCGCGTACGTCCGAGACAATCGTACTTGAATGCAAAAGTCGTAGCACCGTTGCGGTTGCAAGTTGCTGACGTGGACGACAACAGGGCGGTACGGAATGGTCCGTACATGGCAAGTGATGCTGCGCCAGACACATGACGACGCGTTGTACCTTTCACTCGTGCTTACGTGAATTGCGTGATGCGATCGATCACGCGGCACACCAACACAACGTCTCGATTCACTTCGACCAGAACAGACGCTTCGGACGCTGTAACTTGGCCAACGACGGGGCCAACCTGAGCATGGGGATGGTTGCAAAACCTCACAGGGTATTCGCAAGCGATGACGTACGAGCAGTTGTAAAGGCTCGGCCGGCTCGGTGCCTACTAATCCGACCACCACAGCATCGGCTTCGTGGAGATCCTTTTCCTGACGCAGTCATGTGATCCAGTCGTCGATGGATTGCTGTACCATGTGCGGAGGCTCGACGTGTACTGACCCAAGATGGGTTCCCTCGCACACGTCGATTGCGTCGACGTAGAACTTGCCCCACGAATACGACGGCAGCGACTTTGTGTCGTTCGAAAACGGTTGAAAAGGGCGAACCGATCCACAGACCACGTGGTCGAACGAGGCGGACGTGTTTTCTAGTGAGATTTTGGTGTGGTAACCTGGCGAAAACGGTGCGCTTGGTGACACCACCACGAGTCGGGACGCGATCGACTGCAGCTTCCATGCCATACAGGTTTCAACGAGGTCTGCGGCGGCGGACGGGACTGAGCGCAACGACAGCAACGGAGCCGCAGTCAACAGGATGGTTGTTCCCGAGCTTTGATGTGCCATGAGGCGGCTAGCAATTTCATCTTGTGGCGACGTTTGAATCAGCACCACGAGATCTCTCCCGAACGTGATGGAGTCTGTGTCTGGTGGCCACAGATCGCGCGTGTACGAAAGAACGAGGTCGCGCACGGTTGATTCTAGCCATTCAACTTGATGCCGCGGCATCTGACTCAGCATCGTCGAGTCTTCTGGCGAAAAAAGACCGTACATGACGTGGCGCCACGACGTGACCAAAAGGTTGGCCGAGACGCGATACAACGCGTGATGGGCCGCTAGCGACGCTCTGAAATGGTTGGCTAAGCGAGTTTTCACCGCATCTTCCAAGTGAAGTCGTGGTGCCTAACGATGGACGAGAGTAAGCCATACGTCACGTGGGGTGGACGAGTACGGAAAGGGATTGCAGGATGTCCAAGACAGTGCGAGGTGTCAAGCATCCTGAAGAAGTGCTTCAGTTCGTGTGCAGAAGGGGGATGCCAACGAACCCACGTTCCAATGAATGCTGACGGTGGGAGACAGGGGTGGAGCTCGGCACGTTGTGTGAAGCGCTGTGTCGTACGAAAGGTCCTCGCTGTGCGTCCACGTTGTCGGCGACGAAATGCCGTGTGGGCTCCAATGATTGAAAAACAAGATGGACGCTCCAGAGTGGGAAGAGGTTGGAGCGGGGGGCGTTGTCACTTGCGCCACCGCGGCTTTCAAATCGGTTTGTGCCACACCTCCCATGAGGCAAATGATATAGGTCGTGGCCGGTGTTAACGCTTTGAAGTGAGCTATTAACGGTACGAACGGCGTCACGCGAAGTTCAATGCTTTCGTCCAAGACGAAATGCGATGGTCCCACGTCCGATGGCAAGCGTCGCGCGAGGTCGCGTCGGAAGGCGCAGCATTTGACTACGCCATCCACATGATGCCACATAGTAGGAACTGCATTCAACAGCATGTACCGCAAGTCAGTGGCGCCGCGTTGAATTCGTACAGCACGCGGCATTCCTGCGCAGTGACCTACCGCGTGTCAAGTCAGCGTTCGAAGGCAATGTCGTACGTATTCGTACTTGTCCGACGAAAGGACCACACACAACGCGAACGTTGCTTTGTGGGGCTTGTCCCGGCTGCAAGCCGAGCTGATAGAGGTAGTACGGATCGCTCGCCAAGAAGATTTGCTTTTCGTGGACGAAGGACGACATGCCATGGACTAGGGCGCGCACACGATAGCCACAACTACATGAAACATCGTAGTGGCAAGACTGTCGTGGTCCTCTGCAGGTACCTGATGTAATCCAAGAGGTTCTGCGGGTCGGCGTGAAAGACGCACCAATTGAGGAACTGGTTAAAGTTCATCTTGGACCCGTACCCGATCTCGTTGTGGAGAAACCCACGGGCAGCGATTGGCATGACATCTTGAAGAGACGGCATCCATTCGAGCACGCGGAACTTGCGCAGGCCGTCGCACACAATCGTGATGAGCATGGCAAGTTCGCTTTCGGAGATTTCGTCCTCGATGTCAAGGTCCATGAGGTGGAACATGAATTGGCACTTCTTTTCCCACGACCCCCGACAGAGCACGGTAAACGTAAGCAAGAACTCGAGCAGATCCATTTGCTCGCGACCGTTTGTCGGCGTGAAGACTTTCATTCGATCAAACAACCGCCGCGCTTCGACGATGTCCGTGGCGGACGACACTTCCACGATGTACAGAAACTCACCGAGCGTGAGGGAGTACCCCCCGTCCATCATGTGTGGGTTCATCCAGCGTCTGTACGTCTCCCATACCCGCTGAATACGCTCCAAAGTGAACCGCTTGTTCAGGAGATACAATTCCTCGATCACCGCTAAAAGCGTCTCCATCCCGATGGAATCTTGCACCTTTTCGCATGTGAATTCACTGTCAGTCGAAACGCGAATCTGATTGACTAAAATTTGAATTTCGAAATTTTCCAATATTTGATTGGTTAAATTGCAAAAATGGCATTGTGGTTGGTTCAAATTCACGGTGCAAAAAAATGCGGGGATTTGGTGGACGGTCTTAACACACGTTAGAGGATCGAGGAGACCTGGAAAGGACACTCCATCGAGGCATGCAGGAGACGCCACTCTACTCCTCGACGTATTTGGCAAAGAGGTTCTCAGAGTTCGTCATAGCCTTGAACTCGAGGTTGTTCCCGCTGGGATCTTTGAAAAACATGGTCCACTGCTCGCCCTTGCGCCCAACAAAACGAAGGTGGGGCTCCACGATGAAAGGAATGTTCTTCGACTTGACTTTCTCCGCCAGCGCGTGGAATTCATCGACAGACAAACACACACCCATGTGAGGAACGGGCACATCGTCCATGTCTAGCGATGGTAGCAGGTAAGCTAACGTTGACGTACAAACGAGTTGCATCGTACCGACGGGGTTGTGGTAATCAATGCCCCTGTAGTTGGGACCCACTTCGTGGACTACAAATTGATGGCCAAGCATGTTGTAGTCCTACATGCGGCACATGAGAACTCGCCTCATCCATTCCAGTTGACGTACCTGCCACAGAGCGGACGAACGGCCTTCCTCAAACCCGAGCAAACCGCCATAGAATTCTTGTGCTACAAGCGAGACACCTGTGAATCGCCCGTTGTTTAAATGGCACGACTACCGGCTTTGAGGTTGTGGACGGGGACAGCAATGTGGAAGGGAGCAACGGACGACATGCGGCGGACGGTTTGGGCAACACGGCTCGGGAGCATGAGGTGCCTCTGGAAAATTCCGAAATGGTGCGGTCGAACACACATACGGACAAAATCAAATCTTTATCCGGACAACTCAAACTTCTTCAACATCAAGTGCTGCTTCAAGCTCAGCGGGAGAGGAGAAACTGATGTGGCGCTGTGGCTGCGACGACGCAACTTCATGCAACGGAACGATTTGTCACCCGTGTACCCACTAGCTGAGGGATTGTACCGAGTCCGGTGGCCACTTGTCAAAGTTCTTGAACGGCATCCATGTCTGGGCGATCGAACCATGTTGATGCCGCGTGTGAAGCCAACAGTCACACATGGACACGCACGACAAAAGACAGTCGGCCGAGAATCTCATAACCTTCAACATCAAGTGCTGTTTCAAACTCATGCATGAATGAAGGAACGTGTGTCGTCGCTGTGACGATACAACCGATGCATCGTGTAGCAGCATCGAGTCGGACAACCGTTGGCTAACATCACCACATGTGTGACTCAGTCTCATTCTGCCACGTTGGTGCATTTTCTTTGTTCCTTGGTTCGTGCAAGTTGATTCGAGCCATTTCACCCGGTCCGACAGCGCGGACCTCGTGCAACAAGCCATGGGTTAGCGTCCCATGGCTTTTTGAATCGGGGCCATCGAGACTACAGTACATGTGAGAGATGAAGTGTTGGGACGGGTAGGAGACATTGTGTGTTTGCGAAAAGTCGATATATTCCGACTCATGGACCAGCCTGCGCATTCTGCGTGCAGTCTGTCCGTTGGCCACCTCAGCATGATGATCGTCAAAGCCATGAGGCACTGCTTCTCTACGACAGACCGCGCTCGAACCACATTCCCC